AAAGCAGGGGTTTAGACTCTAAGCAGGTGCTTAATGAGCCACGCCAATTCCTAAGGAAGCATTTGCCAACACTGTGTACTCCAGAAAAGCAACAGCCTTCCCAAATGGCTTTTTTGGAGGTGCCACATTGGACCTTTGCCTTACACTGTGCATTGTGTACATCTCTTCTCAAAAGCATGCATTTTATCGGATTCGTTCCTCCTTTCACCCTAAAGTGACCTGCATCGTTACCCAAAAGCTTAGAGGTGTAAGATGCCTGTCCCCTGTTCCAAATTCAAGTTTATCACTTGCCTTTTACCCAACCCGAGACATAGTTGGGCACGGATCTCCTGTCTACCCACTGAAATTGACAAGGGGCCAAGACATGAACTCAGGTGCACCCTAGGTATTCTCCCGGCTGCCCTGGGCTCCCCACGACCAACACACTGAGCTTCTGTTTGAGGTGAGGAACCTCTGGCTTCTGTCGTGTGCCTCATTGTTCTGCTCAGCTTCCAAGGATGGAAACTATTTGCCCTAAAATTCACACCTGCTCCCCACTGGAAGTCTGCCAGAAGGTTGCTTCTCTGATTTCTATCAAGAACTGCCCAATCTCCATCAGTCTTTTCAGTGATTCTTGACATTTGCAAGCTTTTAAGTCTCAAATTGTATGAGGCCTGGAAATTTTCCCAGTTTGGTTAATATTTATCCAGGTGTTTTGGGTGTTTTTTTTTGTTTTTTTTCTTAAAAAGGAATTTTATCTCCCAGCATTTTCCACTCTTTTCTTCTCCATCATTTGAAAACACTCCTGTTATTTTTACGGAGCAAGTTAACTTGCTGAGCGACACAAAGAGTTTATTCAGACACACACACAAGCAATGAATCCAGCCCCAGACTGGGAGACAGTCAGCACCCACAGCCCTTGGAAGAATCTAGTTCAAGGGCAGAAAACGCAAATGCCTTTGAGGGTTGACAGGTCATGGAAATGAGGGTCCCTCTCGGCAGGGGCCACCAGGGGCTACTTCAGGCTGAAAGGAGACATACTTCTGAGCTCAAAGCCTCCCAAATGCACTGGAAACAAAAACTTAAAGAAAACACTGCTGGCTGAACACCACACTTTCAGGGGCTTGTGAATAAGGAAACTTGGGCCCCAGGAGAGGAAGTGGCCAAGGCCACTTAGCAGTAAAGCTGTCACCAAACCCACAATCCTGGCTCGGAGTGCCATGTGCCCTCTCCCTGCTCACAATGCTATTGCTCTTGCATATAAGGGCTCACTTTGCAGCACCCCAACAAGCACACACAGAGATATTGTGTCTGTTCCAGCTAGAACGTAGGTTTTCCCTTGTATGTTTCTAACTTTCTGCAATCGGAATGTATCTCATCATCTTTTTGTTTCGTACCCTGACAACAGTCAGTCGAAACAGATGTGACCTGCAATCCAGGAGATGTGGGCTTTCTAACTAAGAGCTGCAGGCCCTTTGATGCCCGTGGGCGAGCTGACTGGGAGCGAGAAGGAACCAGAGGGGCCAGCAGAAGGCAGGTCATCAGCATCCTTACCGTTGACCTCATCTCGGGATTTGGGGGACCGTTTGCCACGCTTCTTGAGGAAATTCGAGGCATCCGATTCCTGCATGAAAATCTTCTGTCCCACACCTGGAACCCGAAGGAGGCCAGTCACAACCCGCACGGGCTCACCAGGGCAACCGCAGGGGCTGGCCCACCCACCCTGCACCCCTGGGTGGCCCCTGCACTCACCTTCCTGGGCCTCTTGTCCGGCCCCCTGCCCGGTGCCCACTGATGCGCCGGTCCCCTCCTGCAGCACTGTGGGCACGAGCAGAGAGTGAGGGCAGCGCACCGAAGGGACCCTCACCCCAGCCAGGCAAGGCCAGTCCTTCCCAGGACAGTGTGGTTGCCGGGCCCTGGTGGGGGGTCCTGGGTCACACACACACCAGCCCCAAGAAACCACCAAGCAAAGGTTTTCTCTGTGCTGTGTTGTGTTACACACACACACACACACACACACACACACACACACACACACGGCACAACCATCTTATAGATGAGCACCCGCCCCTTTCTCTCTGGGCCAGCCACCTGACAGCCTCACCTAACACCAGTCCATCCCCCAGCCTCCCCTTACTCACTGCACAGGAGCACAGCAGCCGAGAAACAGGCGACAAGGAGCAGCTGTCTCCAGGCCATCTTTGGAGAGGATGAGGCTCCGTCTGGGAACCACAGGGCAGATGGAAAGGGTTCTGCAGCCCAAGGCCTCTGGGTCCTCACTTCTGTGTCAGAAAGGCCGGGAGAGAGGGAGGAGAGACTCAGGAGGCTGGGATGCCACTGAGGAGGGAGTGGGAGGGGTCTGGGTCGTGGCTTCCATTGGCTGCTCCAGCCTGAGCACCGGAGATGGTTTTGGCACCTTGCAAACCTCACAGAAGCAGAGCCTGTCCTTGGGGCCTGGGCCGAGACAGTTTTGCAGTGGCCTTTCCCAGATCCGCACCCAAGGAGTTGCTGTTGGAATGCCCAGCCTCAGAGTCAGGATTCCAGAGACCAAGGGCAAGTTTAAAGAGCTCCTGGCATCTGCTGCAGGGGAGGTGGGGACTGCAGCCCATGGGAGGGACCAAGAGGGGCTCGAGGGGGACTTCCACTCAGAAGTCAAGCAAAGAGGGACCAGGAAGGCGGGAAGACCCCCATCAGGGTGACACTTGCATGGACAGGTGGACCATTCTGATAGTCATCAAAGTACCCCTCACCTTGACACTTTGTCCCCAGCTGATGCTCACTCTCAAGCAAAGCAGGGAGCCTTCGGTCCCAGAGCCCTTTCAAGACATTAAGGAAGAGGGGCAGTCAGCCTTCCTCTGTAGAGGGAGAGTCACTGCGTGGACAGAGCCCCCCTGGGCATACCTCTGTAGAAGGAGACAAAGGCAAAGCCCATGTAGGGGAGGAGATGGGCTCCAGAACTGGGGATGCCAGTAGAATCAGAGCTCTATGGGGTCACAGGAGCACAGTCCCTTTGGAGATGTCTTGATACTGTCATCTATCATGAACCATCCTCAATTCTTTGTTACCTGCTAAAGAGTTGATTTTGGCCTTGTTTAGAATTTCCCTAATGGTGATCACCGCTAGACTAGGACACAGCCGACACACCCACCCGAAGCTCCCCTTTCATCAGGCATGCATGGTAACATCCCTTGTGTACTTAGACCATTGGCCAGGAAAAGAATGTTAATGGCAGGAAAATACTAGTAACTGGCAGAGTAAACAAAATAAATGGGTTGGTTTCCGCCCTGACTGGTTTGGCTCAGTGGATGGAGCATCAACCTGCAGACTGAAAGGTCCCAGGTTCGATTCCAGTCAAGGCCATGTATCTTGGTTGGGGGCACATCCCCAGTAGGAGGTGTGCAGGAGGCAGCTGATTGATGTTTCTCTCTCATCGATGTTTCTCTCTCATCGATGTTTCTAACTCTCTATCCCTCTCCCTTCCTCTCTGTAAAAAATCAATAAAATATATTGTTTAATAAATGGGTTGGTTTCCAGTGGAGGAAAGTGCCACAGACACCTGTCCAGGCCCCTGGTGGCTGGGAGCATACGCAGGGCTCCCCGTCCACATGGCTGACCCCACCTACGGGGGTGGGCTCTGCATGATCCACCCAGGAGGGGCGGCAATGTGCATGAGGACACGACAAGGAATTATCTATCAGATTAACTAGATGTCCTTGGGAGAGGGACGGGCCATAGGACAGAGTGATATTGATGGGACTCCTGGGTGAAAAGGGGGTATGGGAAATACCTGTGACATCCTTGATACCCTAATTCCTCTCGCTGCCTTTTTTAGTTCCATTTATTTCAATCACATGTATTTACCTGTCCAACATCTCCAAAGACAAGCCCTGAAGGACAAGGGTTTTCAGAGTCCAGTTAGAATGGAAGGCACTGTCCCAAGGCCCAGAGGAGTGAGGCCCCTTTGAGGAACTGCGGGCAGTGCAGTATACCAGGGCACAGGCGCCACGGAGGGGCTGGAGGCAGGTGGGTCTGGGTCACAGAAATGAGTCTGGCCTCCACCTCTGTGAGGCAGTATAGTGTGACTATAAGCACAGGCCCCGGGCCAGGTTCCCTGGGTTCAATCCTAGCTTTAGACTTAAGCAGCTGGTTGGCCTTGGGCAAGTCATTTTACCTCTCTCTGCCCCATTCCTTCCTCTCTCAATGGATTGATGCAAGCATTACAGTTAATGCATCCAGAGTTCTTAAAATCATGCCTGCAGAGCATTGTGTATTTGTTTGCTATCATGACAGTAATGACCATTGAATGATTTTGAGCAAGGAAGCGACATGAGGTTTCTTTTATAAACACCACCCTCCCAGCCATATGGAGAATGAGAGAGATTCGACTCAAGTGGTGAGACTGAGAGGAGGCTTTTGCAATAGTACAGGTGAGAGATAATGTTGGCAAAAGGCAGGAGAAAGCAGGAATGGAGAGGACAGCGCATTTAAAAAGATTGAAGAAATATAATTAATAGGATTTGATGACTGACTATCTAGGGGCAGTGAGAGGTTTGGAGGCGTGCATTTCAGATGGCTGCCGAGTTTCTAGTTTGGCAGCTGGATAGATGGGTGGCGAGATCACTCAGTGAGGTGGAGAAAACAGAAAGAAGAGAGAGCTCAGAGGGGAGACCAAGATGGCGGCATAGGTAAACACCTGAGACTGCTGCCGCAAACAACCACTTCAAAGATACAACTAAAAGACGGAACGGACATCACCCAGAACCACAGGAAGGCTGGCTGAGGAGAGACTCTTCAACTAGAAGGAAAAATAACAGCACACCGAGGCTCAGAGGAGGCGCAGTGTGGAAAAAACTCAGGTGCGGAGGTGCGCGCGCAAAGCGGGCTGGTGGCTGAGAGCGCGGTTGTCGTTTTCGGTCAGGGGGGAGTCTCAGACTCTGAGCTCCAGATACGGGCGAATCGCTGGGGACTCGGACCCAAACGGGAGAAGCGGGAGTGTCTGGCATCAGTTGGAAGGCAGCTTTCCCTCCGAGGTTTGCAGCGGTTCCGGGGGTTCTGAGAAGCAGAGCCTCTGGGAACAGGACTGAGGGCACCATAACGGCTCCCTCCGCCCGCCCTGTTGAGCCCGCCCCGCCCAAGCCCTGCGCAGAGCCATTTGCCGGATCGCCTCAGGCAAAGGCTAGATTAGCACCTCCCCAGAGGACAGAAGTTTTCCGCGGCAGACACAGCTGATTCACACAGCCAGTCGGCCTGGTGGTCAAATCCCTCTAGTATTAACTACAACAATCAAGGCTCAACTAGAACAAGACTGCGCACAAAGACCACTAGGGGGTGCACCAAGAAAGCATAAAAAATGCGGAGACAAAAAAACATGACAGAAATGGAGGATATAGAGCTAAAAATCGCAATTTTGAGGGCTTGCAAAAATGTGCTAGAAGCTGTCAATAAACTTGAGGAGAGAGTCACGAAAACTAATGAGACCCTCGATGCTATGATAAAGAACCAACTAGAAATTAAGCATACACGGACTGAAATAAAGAATATTATACAGACACCCAATAGCAGACCAGAGGAGCGCAAGAATCAAGCCAAAGATTTGAAATGCGAAGAAGCAAAAAACACCCAACCGGAAAAGCAAAATGAAAAAAGAATCCGAAAATACGAAGATAGTGTAAGGAGCCTCTGGGACAGCTTCAAGCGTACAAACATCAGAATAATTGGGGTGCCAGAAGATGAGAGACAGCAAGATATTGAAAACCTATTTGAAGAAATAATGGCAGAAAACTTCCCCCACCTGGTGAAAGAAATGGACTTACAGGTCCAAGAAGCGCAGAGAACCCCAAACAAAAGGAATCCAAAGAGGACCACACCAAGACACATCATAATTAAAATGCCAAGAGCAAAAGACAAAGAGAGAATCTTAAAAGCAGCAAGAGAAAGAGACTCAATTACCTACAAGGGAATACCCATACGACTGTCAGCTGATTTCTCAACAGAAACTTGGCAGGCCAGAAGGGAATGGCAAGAAATATTCAAAGTGATGAATACCAAGAACCTACAACCAAGATTACTTTATCCAGCAAAGCTATCATTCAGAATTGAAGGTCAGATAAAGAGCTTCACAGATAAGGAAAAGCTAAAGGAGTTCATCACCACTAAACCAGTATTATACGAAATGCTGAAAGGTATCCTTTAAGAAGAGGAAGAAGAAAAAGGTAAAGATACAAATTGTGAACAACAAACATGCATCTATCAACAAGTGAATCTAAGAACCAAGTGAATAAATAATCTGATGTACAGAATGAACTGGTGATTATAATGAATCAGGGACATAGAAAGGGAATGGACTGACTATTCTTGGGGGGGAAAGGGAAATGGGAGATGCAGGAAGAGACTGGACAAAAATCGTGCACCTATGGATGAGGACAGAGGGTGGGGTGGGAACTGGGAGGAGGGGAGTTATGGAGGGGCACCTATGGATGAGGACAGTGGGTGGGGAGTGAGGGCAGAGGGTGGGGTGGGAACTGGGAGGAGGGGAGTTATGGGGGGAAAAAAAGAGGAACAAATGTAACCTGAACAATAAAGATTTAATAAAAAATAAAAAAAATAAAAAAAGAAAAGAGAGAGCTCAAAGGACATGGCATTGGAAAAATCAAGCCTACAATACTTTAGGATTCAAACCAGGTCTTCTGAGGTCAAATCCAGGGCTCTTTCCATTTTCCCATAACCATAATTTTGTGATGATACCAAACCATCACCAGGCAATTTTGAAGCACTTTCATCACCACCAAAAGAAACTTCATACCCATTAGCAGTCACTCCCCATGCCCCTCAACCCCAAAGCCCTAGATCACCACTGATCTGCTTTCTGTCTCTGTGGATTTGCCTATTCTAGACACTCCATCTAAATGGAATCATACAACACATGACCTGCTGTGACTGGCTTCTTTCATAACACTGTGTTCAGGGCTCCTCCATGTTGTAGCATGTATCACTACCTCATTCCTTCTCACTGCTGAGTAACAGTCTACTGTAGAGATAGACCATTTTATCCATTCACCAGTTAAAGAACGTCTGGTTGTTTCTACCATTTGGTTATTATGAATAATTCTGTTCTGAACATTCTTGCATACTTTTTTGTATAGACAGATGTTCTCATTTCTGTTGGGTAGATACCTAAGAATGGAATTGTTGGGTCATGTTTGACTTTTTTGAGGGACTTTCACATTATATTTTAAATGTTCATTTATTCCTTCCTTCACTGCTGTGAAGTCTCTTTTAGCAGAAGTGTCCACCTCATTCATACCTGAAATGGTGTCTGGCA